AGGAATTAAAAATTTTACCAGTGAATAAAACGTCATCTAAATAAATGACTAGAATAATGCCTTGGCTTCTTAGTTTTTGCACAGCTGGTTTGAGGATCTTTGTGAGAGTAAACTGTGCTGTACAAACACTGGAATTCGAACTCTACATTCTAAAAAATAAAACGAAGAAATTTTCTATGTTCAACGGAGACAGATACCATAATGTAGGCATCCTTAAGATCTATTACAGCCATGTAATGATCGCGATTTAAATGTCATAAAGCGGTTATCATATTTTCTATTTTTAAATGTGAAATCGTTATATACTTATTCAAATTTTTTTTTTTTTTAAATAAATTGAATATGAATTGATCTTCACCACTAGGCTTTTGTCTTAAGTAATAATTTGATTATTTGTGAAAATAATTGAATAATTGTGAAGAATTTTATTAAAATTTGATTGAATTTCGGAGAATAGTTTTTGTTATTTGTAAAGATAATTGAATTTCTGCAAAGAATTTTATTATTTATGTCAATTTGTTTATAAGTCATAAAGGTCTTAATTTTCTTACTTTCCTTGAAAAAAATTTTTTATTAACATTTCCCTCACTTTACTGACAAAAATTTTGTACCCTGACTATCGTGTTAATATAACAATACAATAATTAAAAAAATAAAGTGTTTAATTAAATTATAATGTTTATTTATTATTTTAATCGTTAATCATTTTTGTAATTTCGTGCTTTGAAATATGGTAAAAAAAGGTTTATTAATTTTTAACATGCATGAGTAACATTAAAAAACATACTTACATATTTTTTAAATGTGCAATGTCCACGTGGAAAAGTGTAAAGGGGTAGGGGTTGGCCAAATATCCACAACCAGAGGTGGGGGGGTTCAAAAATTGGTAAAGAATTGTCCATTTGGTATATGGAACAACGATAAAATTTATACCCCTTACTAATACCTGGTTCTCCCTCTCTTTCACTTCTTAATCTATCTGTGAGTGAGAAAAGAAAAATAATTAGCCAATAAGGAAATAAGACGCCCTTTTCGTATTTTGGCTTGAAAGTAAAATTCCCCAATTCCTTCCCCTACCAATTTCTGTTCCTCTCTTTCTACCTGACACGTAAATTGGAGAAAACATTATGCTCTTCTGTAAACCAAAGAAATAGGCGTTACTATCTTACCTTCCTTCCAACACTAAACTAAAAGAAGAGCCAATACCTCCCTCTCTATCTCTTTATCATGCTTTCTCTCTCATACTGTGACAGACAGAATGAATATGAACATTAATATAGTTAATTTATAATTTATGATTAATTAATAAAAATATGGTATTTATTGTGGCAATATTCTCAGCCAGCACTGTTACATGGCCGCGCCAGCGCTTTCTGGTAAATTTGTCAGACAGCTTTTCGCCAGCGTTAAGCAGCGATATCATTTCAGCGTTATAACAGTGCTGTCAGTTGTATAAAGACGATGACTACTAGCTGATTATTTTATGCGCGTTTAACAGCAGAATTACTTCGCTAATAATCGAAATGATGAATTTCGTATAACTTGAAATGCAAAAAGTCAATTTTAAGAAAACTAACATTATAAACAAAGAAAAGTATAAGATAAAGAATGGGGAAAAGAAATAAAGATAGGAAAATATAAAAATTCATGTAAATTTAAATGATTTAAAATATGAAGAAAATATGTAAAGACTTAAACGATGTATAGTTTTCTTGAATTGGAGGCCTTGTATTGAAGAAGTTAGATGACAATTAGAGGAAAACACATATAATAATCAGTTAGCAGTCAGTTATACAAAGGCGATGACTACTTACTAATTACTTAATACGCGTTCCACAACAAAATTAATCCCGTAAATAAAAGAAATGATGAAATTTAAATAATCTGAAAAGCAAAAAGTACATTTCAAAAGAAATACCGTCAAGAACAAAAGTAAGATGAAAAGAAATAAAGATAGGAAAACATAGGACTTGATTTTATTGAATAATTTAAAAATTATAAATATTTAAAGTATGAAGGAAATATGTAAAAAGTTCAAAGATGTATAATTTTCTTAAATTGGAGGCCTTGTATTAATAAAGTTTGATGACAATTAGAGGAAATCACATAGAATAACCAGTGAGACAGTCAGTTATACAAAGGGAATGACTACAAAACTGGCTATTATATGCGCGTTCCACAACAGAATTACTCCGCTAGTAACAGTAATGATAAATTTTAAATATCCTGAAATGCATAAAGGAAATTTAAAGAAAAATAACTTTATAAACAAAGAAAAGAATAAGATGAAGAAGGTGAAAAAAAATAAAAATAGGAAAATATAAACTTTAAAATTTTTAAATTATAGAATGAAATTGAAGCCTTGTATTGAAGAAGTTAGATGACAATTGGAGAAAATCACATAGAATAACCAGTCATCCAGTCAATTGTACAAAGGCGATGACTATAAAACTGATTATCTTATGCGCGTTCCACAACAGAATTACTCCGCTACTAACAGGAATGATAAATTTTAAATATTCTGAAATGCAAAAACGAAATTTGAAGAAAATTAACCCCTTGACTGCCGATGGCAAAGATCTTTGCCATTTCGGACTTTGCTCTGACTGCCGGAAAACTGACAATCTTTGCCATGATAAAAATTGATGTAAAAATTTAAAAATGGCTGAAAATTAAAAATAAAATGATTTCTAAAAAGTCAACGCTATGCAGAATGCGACGCACGTTTCTGTTTTTAAATTCAGTAAATTATAAAAATCTTATAAATTTTTAAAAACAACACTTTTAGCAAATTTTTCAAAATCTTTGCCATGGAAAATACAATGCATTTTTATTTTAAAAATGTCTAAAATCGCCTGAAGTCTATTACTCGGGGGTTTTCGAGGTCGCTGATTACGAATATGATGATGGTTTTTCAAAATTCAAAATGGCGGATCCAATATGGAAGATGACTTTTTTAAAAATTGATCCAATTTACCTGAAATATGTTACTCAGGGGTTTTCGAGGTCGCTGATTACGAATATGATGATGGTTTTTCAAAATTCAAAATGGCGGATCCAATATGGCGGATCACTTTTTTAAAAATTTATCCAATTTACCAGAAATTTGTTACTCGGGGGTTGTCGGGGTCGCTAATTACGAATCCGATTTCAGTTTTTCAAAATTCAAAATTGCGGATCCAATATGGCGGATCACTTTTTTAAAAATTGATCCAATTTACTTATTGGAAAGGTGAAATGCGTTAGGACATTTCAATGGAATTTTAATTTTTGCACTCTTTTTATAGCTGTTCTATGAAACCGGCATTTGTAAAATTTGTTCTGCTTTTATGATAAAAACAGAAATTTTTTTAAAAAATGTCCGCCATATTGGATCCGACATTTTAAATTTTTAAAAACAGACATCCGATTCGTCATCAGCGACCCCGAAAACCCCCGAGTGATAATTTTCAAGAAAATCCAAAATTAAAAAAAATATATCCGACATAATGGACCCTCCATTTTGAATTTTGAAAAACTGTCGTAGAAATCGTCATCAGCGACCCCAAAAATCCCCAAGTGACAAGTTTCAAGCGAATACAAAATTAAAAAAAAAAATTTCCACCATATTGGATCCGCAATTTTTAATTTTTAAAAACTGACATCGGATTCATCATCAGCGACCCCGAAAACCCCGTAATGATAATTTTCAAGCGAATCCAAAATTAAAAAAAAATGTCCGCCATATTGGATCCGACATTTTGAACTTTGAAAAACCGACATTATATTCGTAATCAGCGACCTCGAAAACGCCTGAGTAACACATTTTAGGTAAATTAGATCAATTTTTAAAAATCCGTCCGCCATATTGGATCCGCCATTTTAAATTTTGAAAAACCGAGATCAGATTCGTAATTAGCGACCCCGAAAACCCCTTAGTAACAAGTTTCAGACAAATTGGACGATTTTTTATTCTTGGTATTCTGGGCACATTAAGTGTTTTTCAGTCGGCAGTTAAGGGGTTAAATACTTTTACTATTTAGAAGTATATTAAATTAAAATTAAACTTACTTCATTTATCTGAGATATTAATGTTAATTTGAAATCAGGAATGTTAACTGGAGATGAGAGAACATTTTCTTGACGATGTGAATCATGATCATCATCATCACTAATGTTTACAATTTCCCCTTCATTATAATAAATTGGAACAAATTCAAGTTTATCATTATAACGACGATGATCACTCTCCATCGATTTCCGGGCGTATTCCATTTTAGGATAAAGATGATTGCTCTGAAAAAATTACATTAAGCTATTAAAATAATAAGAAAATAAATATTTTTTGAATTATATTATAGAATTATAATAATTTTAAAATTGAAATGATTGCAAAAATTAAAAATATTTTTGAAAACCTAAAAAAGTTCGTTAGAAAATGAAATGAAATATAAAATAAATAAATTGTAATTATCAAATTGTCAAAGAAGCCGGAAATTTATTTAGAACTTTAAACAATTATATAATATAATTTGTAACGGTTTGTTTTTATAACCCTTATATTTTTAAAGAATATTATATATATATTTGAAAATTAAGGTACCCAAGGTTAGTAAATAAATTTGAGACAATTAATTTAACTAAATTAATTAACGATTTATTCAAAAAACAACCTAAGCTAAATACATAGGATTTCCCTATTCTAATAACGAAGTATTCTTTTTATTGTGCAATTATACAATTATTGACGTATTGGAATTATTTTGACGATACGAAGTTTTTTACAATTATTCACATAATTAAGTCCAAATAATACAGCCTATCCAAATAGGATACAAATCGAATAAATATATTTCCTTTATCTAATTCGTGTTTCGCGATAATATATTTTTGAGATCATACGTTTTCAATGAAGCTGCGTATTATACGAATCTCTTTTGTGTTTGGTATACAGAGGTGTAATTGAACTTGTAGAAATTTAAGAGTATGAACTATACGTTTTCTTAGAAGCTGCGTATATATATGTTCAACTAGAAAAGTGTAATGCAGAGGTATACATGCATTGATAATACATGCATTGATTTTGGGTTTAGAGGTGATACGCTTTCTAGGAAGCTGCGTATATAAAAAAGAGAAGAAATCACTTGAAGATGCGTTTTCTTAGAAGCTGCGCATTGATTTCAATGATAATAAGGGTTTGAAATAATATAAGATACTATGCGGGCATCTTACATGTATTTCGGGTTGCGGCGGCACGGCTTACGGGAAACTAAATGGAATATACTCCTACAGAGGTATGGCTAACGTGCATCTGGAGTGGATCGAGATAGACTTTGAGAAAAACCTCGCGATCTATATAAGAAAAATATATTCTATTGCGGGGGCTTAGCTGGCTGGTCCCGCGAATATATATGTGAAGCTAGTGTGAAGCACCAGGGTAAAAAAAAGTTATTATAAAAAAGGAATGAATTTAAGTTGCATTAAAAAGTTACGATCTTAACCGCCTGGGGCAGCGTACGTTAAGAAAGGGGTGACAGTATACGAAAAGACTAAGGGAAAAACCTAGCACACGTATCGTGCATCTAATACTCAACGAGAGAGTATTAGAAGAAATTTCCAACAGCCGAGGTGGCGTTCATTGGAAAGAGAGAGAGAAAAGATTCAGCAGCCGAGGTGGCGTACATTGTAATAATCAAATGCATATACTCCAGCCGAGGTGGCGTTCCGAATGATATACAGTATACTCACTGAACTGCTTACTTGTAGTGGGCCTCTCTGCGATCCCCTTTCCTCCTGGCTGGTTGGCTCTCCGTAGTACAGCTTGGCTCTCTGCACAGGTGCTTGGCTCTTCACACACGTTCGTCTCAGCAGCGGTACATTCTCACTTATACCACTATAGTTCCGTTCGTATGGGCTGCGATAGTTCTCATCACAGCTCGCGTATTTATATTATTTGTACACGAAGTCATATTCGAGAGAGGTCAATAATATATCAATTATTGACATCTTTTATTTAATTTTGGAATTAATATTTAAATACAGGTAATTGCTGTATTTTGGGTTGTCATTTAAAAGGGGTAAATAGAATAACAAATCAGGTTTCTATTTAGTCTAATATACATATATATATATATATATATATATATATATATATATATATGGTTAGATTTTATTATATAAAAAATAAAAGGCTTTAAAATCTGAACCCTTACAAATTCAAAAAATATTTGTTTTCTTTTCTTTTTTTTAAATAATTTTATTTAATTTTTTCAGAGCAATAATTCAGTCAACAATTTATATTTTACATCCAATCACCATCATCATTCTGCAATGGACTACTAACATGAATCTATTGAAAGTGATCGTATTCCTTTCATTGATCAACAACAATAACAAGAGTTTGTTCCAATCCATTTTAATGATGAAGAAATTATTAACATCAGCAGTGATGATGATGATGATCATGATGAGGAGGAGGAGGAGGATGCACAATCTCAACAACATTTTTTTTCATCTCGATTAATCTTTTCCGATTCCAACCAAACATATCTATCTAACATTAATGAAGTAAGTTTTAATTTAATCTAATATAACTTTAAAAATTAAAATTATTTAAAAATACTTATTGTATGTAACAATTATTAAAACTATATTTTATAACTTATACAATAAATTAACCTTCTTGTCCTTTTTTTAATAATTTTATTTAATTTTTTCAGAGCAATAATTCATTCAACAATTTCGTTTTTACATCCAATCATCATCATCATCCTGCAATGGACTACTCACATGAATCTATTGAAAGTGATCGTATTCCTTTCATTGATCAACAACAATAACAAGAGTTTGTTCCAATCCATTTTAATGATGAAGAAATTATTAATATCAGCAGTAATGATGATGATCATGAGCAGGAGGAGGAGGATGCATAGCGTGGAGAAAATGTTTTTTTCATCTTTAATTATCATTCTTTTTTCAAACGTAAAATTCGTACATTTATTATTTGAAATTATTTCAATTTTTATTTAGCGTATCCTTAAATAGTTGAAGTATTTAAAAATACTATTTTTATATAAAAATTATTAAAATTTATAAGTTTAAAATAATTACATTATTCTTAAGTAATTAAGTAAGTAAGTAATTAAGTAAGTAAGTAATTAAGAGAATTTTTTTTTAATTATAAATTAAATTTTAAATAAATAATAAATGAATAAATTTAAATAAATAAATTTAAATATAATAAATAAATAAATAATAATAAATAAATAAATAAATTTAATTTAAATAAATAATCAATAAATTTCAAATAAATATAAAAAGTCTATAAATTTGTTATTTATTGTAAAATTTTAACTCTTTTTTTTCCGTCAAGGAAAACTGGTAAAATTTTTAATTATTTACAACATTTTCACATTTTCAACATTTTTTTTCATGTTACAAATGTAACTCTTAGAATTAGGAAGTACGTAATGTACGAAAGGGCATGTCCCGTTATGTTATTAAATAAATAAATAAATAAACATTTTATTTTGAATTTAAAAAAAAATTAAATTGCTGACTATTTTCTTTAGTATATTAAACTGTACATGTACTTAATCTTTTTTAAATATATTTTTTCTCTTTCTTCATTAATCGAGATTATATTTATTCGACAATCAATTTATCGAAATTCTATTAATCTTTTTCAAATAATTTATTGTCGATTAATATATTTTTAAAAATTATAGATGGAGACCAACAATGGATATATAGTAATAATTAAGTATACAAATTTTTTCTACAATATTTAAAAATTAAATAATAGACAAATACTGCCTATTTGATACTCGAAGGTATTAAATTCAATCCAAAACCCCTTCCAACGTTTTCAAAACACATTATTTTATTTGTTTATAGTAAAACTAATTACAAAGGCGAGCAAAGTATGCCGTATCTTATATTGTTTTATTACTTAATAAATAATACTATTTAATACAGAAAAAGAATTATATTTATTATTATATTATAGTTGGTACTATAAAGTAGCAAACTCACACACAATGCCCTTTTAAATTTTAAAAATAAGCCTTTTTTAATATGTTTCTATGAGAAATAATCACGTAGGCGGACAAAGCCTTCTGCATCTTTTTTTCTCTTCTTTTAAATACTAATTATTATTCTCAAAATCATTATTTTTTTACAAATTTATTTGCAGTTATAACAGGAGAAAAGTCTTATTAACATGTTTCATGTTTCTTAAAAAATTTTGTTAGTTAGTACAATTTTTCTTTAAAATAACAAAGCTCGTTATTTTAACTTATAAACCATTTTATTTTCTTAATTAACTTAATGTGTTTATTAATTTCATTTATGGATTTATTCTGTTTTTTTTAAACATTTTAGATATTAAATTTATAGTCTATGTAAATTTTTTTTGTTAATTTTGTTCACTTTATGTTCACACCAGGCTCCTGAGGTAAATAGGTTTGACAAAAATGAATGCAAAATTGGCAAGAAGGGTTTGATTTGTACTCATCCATACTTTTAAAATCCGTTTAGAACAAAATCCTAGCTGCTCGGGTTCGCCAGATATACATGTTTAACCAAATCAGAGAAACAGCATAAGTTGATTTAATATACCAAATGGACAGTTATGCCACACGCACACACACAAATATATATATTGAAGATTCTAAAAGGGCCCCTCCTTTAACTAAGAAGTCGTCAAAACTTATGTCAAATTTGACCTATTTTTTACCTATAGGTCAAAAAGAGACCAAATAACGGTCTTACAATACCTCGAAATCTATGTCAAATTTGACCTTTTTTTCTTACCTATAAGTCAAAAAGAAGCTCAATAACGGCCTTACATTACGTCAAAATCTATGTCAAATTTGACATATGTCAACAGAGGTTCAATAAGGTCTTTTACAATACATCAAAATTTTCTATGTTAAATTTGACGTATTTTTTACCTACAAGTCAAAAAGGGTACTACTAAATAGTTTTTTAATACGTAAAAATCTATATCACATTTGACCTAATTTTTTAACTACAGGTCAAAAAGAGACCCAATAAGACCGTAGCATTACGTCAAAATCTATAAGTATTTTACCTATTCTTTTACATACAGGTAGGTCAATTTTAAGGGCAGTTTTGACTTGCACGTAAAAACTTCACAATAACACTCTATTTGACCTGCTCCTTCCTCAAAATTGCAGTTTTGACCTACACATCAAAACATGACGAAAAAATTAAACAGGACCACAAAAATTTTTTTAAGAAAGTATTGACCGGACTATGTTTTTTATATGTTTTTTGGGTCACTGAATTCAAATCCAAACTCAGTTTTCTGCCATCACGTCAAGATTCTTCACAAATTAATAAAATTCGAAAAAAACTGACTGTAAACAAGATTTAAATAAAATGAAGCAGAAGATTCTATTAAAAAGCAACTTTAAAACACTGAAAAATATTATTTAATGTTAAACAATTAAAGAAACTCGTAAATATTCAAAATTTAAGATGGCGGATCCAATATGGCGTCAATTTTTTTAAAATTCACCCAATTCGCCTGAATCTTGTTACTCGGGGGTTTTTGGGGTTGCTAAATACGAATTTCACCTTAGTTTTCAAAAATTCAAAATGGCGGATCCAATATGGCTGACCAATTTTTTAAAAAATAATTAAATTTACCTGAAACGTTATACTCGGAGGTTTTTGGGGTCGCTGAATACGAATTTCACCTTAGTTTTCAAAAATTCAAAATCTAAAAATTTTTAAATAATTTGTTAGCCATATTGGATCCGCTATTTTGGATTTTTTAAAACTAAGGTGAAATTCGTATTCAGGGACCCCAAAAACCCCCAAGTAACAAGTTTCGAATAAATCTGATAAATTTTTTAAAAATACGTCAGCGATATTGGATCCGCCATTTTGAATTTTGCAAAACTAAGGAGAAATTCGTATTCAGCGACCCCAAGAACCCCCGAGTAACAAATTTCAAGTAAATCTGATACATTTTTAAAAAATTCGACAGCCATATTGGATCCGCCATTTTGAAGAAACTTGACGTGATGGCGCAAAACTGAGTTCGAATTAGAATTCAGCGACCCAAAAGACATATAAAAAAACATGGTCCGGTCAATACTTTCTTTTAAAAAAATTTTTTGGTCCTGTGTTATCTGTCTTATATTTCCCTCAAAATTTGGTTTCTACAGGTCGAACAGAATCCCCATAAAGACTCTCTGATTTAAATAAATTCAAATAAATTTTAAATTACATTTCAAGAAATGTAAAAATAAGGGGTTGGCGCGCAAGGAGCGAAGCCCCCCTAGTATATATGTTGCATTCCACCTCAAGTGATCCGTGTCCAAATTTGAAATGTTTGCGATAAGGTTAAAAGTTTGTATAAACAGCAGTCCTATTAGCTACAATTATAATACCAAATATTATTAATTTATTTAAACAAATGTAAAAACTGGAGGGAGTTAAAGTTTAAATTTTTGGTCTTATATGGAATAGTTAAAAAATTTGTAGTTTCTTTAGAACAAAACGAAAAGATATTTTCGATTTTGTGTTTTTTCTGTTTTCAGCACTTTCTAATGGTGCAAACAAATTTAAAAAAAAATTACCTTAAATTAGTGATGCACTTTGAGCAAGTCTCGGATCGAAAAACCGAGAATCTCGCGAGGAAAACAATGAAAACAATTGAATTTTACTATTTAGTAGCACGCTTTTTGACCTGTAGGTAAAAAATACATCAAATTTAACATACATTTTGATGTATCGTAAAAACCCTTTACTGAACCTCTTTTGACATAGGTCAAATTTGACATAGATTTCGACGTATTGTAAGACCGTTATTTGGTTTTTTTACCTATAGGTAAAAAATAGGTCAAATTTGACATAAGTTTTGCCGACTTCTTAGTAGAGGAGGGGCCCTTTTAGAATCTTCAATATATATATATATATATATATATATATATATATGTGTGTGTGTGGTATAACTCGATGGGTTAGTGGAAAAAAAGACACCTCGAATTTTGGTTGAAAAAGAGGACACCTCGCATTTTAGTTGAAGAAAAGGACACGTCAAAAATATTCATTTTACATCAACTTTCGTTTGGCAATACTATGTGTAATGTAATTGTTTTTTGAGTTTTTGTAATAGAAGATTTAAGAACATATCATGTCCTTTTTTTCCACTAACCCAGCGAACTGTCCATTTGGTATCTTAACCCCTTGACTGCCGATGGCAAAGATCATTGCCATTTCGGACTTTGCTCTGACTGCCGGAAAACTGACAATCTTTGCCATGATAAAAATTGATGTAAAAAAGTCAAAAATGGCTGAAAATTGAAAATAAAATAATTTCTAAAAAGTCAACGCCATGCAGAATGCGACGCACGTTTCTGTTTTTAAATTCAGTGAATTATAAAAATGTTATACATTTTTAAAAACAACACTTTTAGCAAATTTTTCAAAATCTTTGCCATGGACAATACAATGCATTTTTATTTTAAAAATGTCTAAAATCGCCTGAAATCTATTACTCGGGGGTTTTCGGGGTCGCTGATTACGAATATGATGTCAGTTTTTTAAAATTCAAAATGGCGAATCCAATATGGCGGACGACTTTTTTCAAAAATTGATCCAAATTACCTCAAATTTGTCACTCGGGGGGTTGTCGGGGTCGCTGATTAAGATTATGATGATGGTTTTTCAAAATTCATAATGGCGGATCCAATATGGAAGATGACTTTTTTAAAAATTGATCCAATTTACCTGAAATTTGTTACTCGGGGGTTTTCGAGGTCGCTGATTACGAATATGATGTAGGTTTTTCAAAATTCAAAATGGCGGATCCAATATGGCGGATGACTTTTTTAAAAATTGATCCAATTTACCTGAAATTTGTTAATTTTTAAAAACTGACATCGGATTCATCATCAGCGACCCCTAAAACCCCCTAATGATAATTGTCAAGCGAATCCAATATTTAAAAAAAATTTCCGCCATATTAGATCCGCCATTTTGAATTTTGAAAAA